CCCACCCTCGGGAGTCGTGATGGCGCCTACTCGTAGAAGCTAGGCAAGCCAAGTTTAATTACCTTTTGTTTACAACATAGTCCATTTTATCAATCTATGGCAACAATATCAAAATAACAAAATTTAATAGTAGCGGAAGTCATAATTATAGAAACTGAATCAAAATGCGGAATAGTCAATATAAGCCTCTACCCAAGATTGGTATCACAGTACTCACGAACTGCTAAGAAATACTAAATACAAATGTCTGAAAGAACACATAAGCTGTTTGTCTCGAATACAAGAGGCAACAGACTAAAAAGAGAGAATAAGGGAGACGACGGGCCTGCGGACGCCTGCAAGGCTACCTCGGGTCTTGCTGGACTGAAGGCCTGCTCCCGTACTAATGCTGCTGTTGCTGCTGCTCGAAACCTGGACCTATGCAAATAGCACAGAGTGTAGCATCAGCACAACCGACCCCATGTGCTGGTAAGTGTCTAGCCTAACCCCGGCGAAGTAGTGACGAGGCTAGACTGGACTACCACATAAACCTGTGCAATTCTATATATATACTGCAGAATCGAAATACAAGGCAAGTAAAAACATTATAGGAGGGGAAGCATGTTGTGGGGAGATAACAGTTTCAAATATAAAAGGACTAACACTAAGGAAAAGCACAACTCATAAACAATAAAGAACAAAGATCAACAAATGCACGACATCACCCTTCGTGCTTTTACTCTCATCCTCACCAAGCAATAATATAAACAAACGTGCACGGCATCACCCTTCATGCTTTTACTCTCATCCTCACCAAGCAGTAATATAAACAAACGCGCACGGCATCACCCTTCGTGCTTTTACTCTCATTCCTCACATATAATCAATAGAATAGGCACGGAATGGCACACGTGAGACACGGCATCACCCTTCGTGCTTTACACTCTTTCCTCACAAGAACAAACAATGCACGGCATCACCCTTCGTGCTTTAACACTCTTCCTCACCCAATCAACAATCACAAACAAGGGCAAAGGAATAATAAAACAAGAATGGAAGTCCCGGCAAGGGTATACAAGCAAACAAATAAAAACCCGGCAAGGGCACAACATTAATAACCAACAACGTCCCGGCAAGGGAATCAATCATTAACTCTTCTCTTTCTTTCACTTTCATCTCAAAGTTCACGTTATCACTTGAGCCAATGCTCCAAGGAGTTACTTATCTCATATACCTTCACAATTTGTATTTCAACCCGAGCCAATGCTCTAAGAAGTCCAAAGATCACAATTTCTTTCACAAGATCATTAACAACACATAGAAGTCATCAATTAAACATGGAACGCATAACAACAACCAAACTATTCGTAAAATGAGGACTCACGGTCATGCTAGACACCAATGTATAGATACTCGTCACCATGCCTATACATCGTACTCGACAGTTAACAAGTTACAATTAAGACTCAACTCCTATTCCCTCAAGCTAGGGTTAAACCAAACACTTACCTCGATGCCTTGAACTCAACTCAAGCCTCAACTACGGCTTTACCCCATAATTCCACCTTCAATCCGCTTGAATCTAGCAACAAATTACTTAATTACATTAATAAACACTAAATGAATCAATTTGAATGCAAAAAAAATGAATTTCCCAAAGTTTTTCCCAAAAATTCCAAAATTGTCCCCGTGCCCACGTGGTCAAAACCCGTGGTTCGAACCAAAACCCAGTTACCCATTCCCCCACGAACTCAAATATGTAATTTGTTTTGAAATCGGACCTCAAATTGAGGTCCAAATCCCCAATTTATAAAAAACCTAGGTTCTACCCAAAACCCCCAATTTCTTCCATGAAAATCATTGATTTTAAGTTGAAAACATGTTAAATGATGTTAATGATTGAAAGAGTTAAGTAAAAATTGACTTACAAATGATTTGGGATGAAACTTGTTCTTGAAAAATCGCCTAAGGAGTTGTATTTTGAAAGTGGGGTGAAAAATGGTCTAAAATTCGACTAAGTATGAAAAATGCAGGTTGCAGATGTGAGAAATGCGAAGTTGGGTTCGCAATTGCGAACCCTGCAGGCTTGGGAAATGCGACATTACTGTTCGCATTTGCGAACTCAGGCCAACCAGGGGACCTTCGCATTTGCGAATTGGGTCTCGCATTTGCGAACCAGTGACCATCGCATTTGCGATGTTTGGCTTCGCATTTGCGAACCTTGGCCGACCTAGGATGGTTTCGCATTTGCGAACCAGCCTCCGCATTTGCGATAGCTGGACCTTCGCATTTGCGAACTCTGGCTTCGCAAATGCGAATCCTGCAGATCAGCTGATACCAGATTTTTCCAAAATGAGAAATGCAATCCGACACCTATCCAAAACTCACCCGAGCCCTCGGGGCTCCAAATCAAATATGCACACAACCTCAATAACATCCTATGGACTTACTCACGTGATCAAATCGCCAAAATAACATCAAAAACAACGAATCATACCTCAAAATCCCTAGTTTTTCTTCAAACTTCATAAACTTTCAAATTTAGAGTTTTAAGTCCGAAACACGTCAAACGACGTTCAATTTCAACCTAACTTCACATAAAGCGCTTAAACCATATATAAGACTGGTACTGGGCACCGGAACCGAAATACGGGCCCGATACCACAGTCTTTTAATCAAATTTCATGTCCAATTTCCTTAATAATTTCAGAAAAATAATTTTACTCAAAAATTTATTTCTCGGGCTTGGGACCTCGGAATTCGATTCCGGGCGTACGCCCAAGTCCCATATTTTCCTACGAACCCTTCGGGACCGTCAAATCACGGGTCCGGGTTCGTTTACCCAAAATATTGACCGAAGTCAAATTTATTCAAATTAATATCAAAATTTAGCATTTTTCTCACAGAATTCATATTTAAGCTTTCCGGCTACGCGCCCGGACTGCGCACGCAAATCGAGGCAACCCTAGATGAGGTTTTCAAGGCCTCGAAAGCACGGAATGAGTAAAAAAATAGGTGATGACCCTTTGAGTCGTCACATAAAAGTTTATATATATTGTGCATTTATTTGTTATATATATATATATATATATATATATATATATATATATATATATATATATATATATATATATATACGGAGAGAGAGAGAGAGAGAGAGAGAGAGAGAATTTGAGCCAAAATCCATTTAACACGCCCAATCTGGCCAAGGTTGGACTGGTCATTGACCCGTTCATTTTTTGAACTTAGCCCATCTTGACTCAGCCTATATCAACTCATCTATTTCATTGAAATAATTCTTTCTTGTTTGATATGTTATATATGACCATAACAAGTAAAAAAAAATTATTTGATGATTAAACAATTGACAAGAAATAACACACATTAATTAAACCTTGATAAGAGTTGGATGGATTGGGCTAACACCTAAATTTTAACTCATCTTGACCCAACCATCATTTCCTTATCTCCGAATTGTTTTTGTCATACAGGGAGAAATCAGCTTATTGTGTGATGCTGCTAGGTACAAGTTGCAGATCTAGCACTACCTTCATATCTCTTTATGTGCTTTATAAAGTGGTTTAAAGTTTGTATGGTATTTCTTTATGTTTGGCTTACTTCCCCCTGCTTTTGTTATTCTTGAATTTTGTAATATACATGGTAGGGTCCTGTGAAACCCCACACTATATATAATGAAAAAAAATTTATGATCCAGTCCATCTCAACCTAAGTAATTTTTTAGCGAGTCATTGACCCTTTATTTATTGACTAAGCATATTTTGACCTATCCAGAATAAGCTCAACCCGTCCATTTGATATCCATGGAGATATGTTTGATTCATTGATTGGTGTATGTTCTTCAACCTTTCAAAAGATAATGTTGTTACTGGCGTCGAGACTCATTCCACGAGATAAGTGCTAGTAGAGGTGTACATAAGCGGGGTTGGTTCGTTTTTTGTCAAAACTAAACCAACCAATTATATCGGCTTTGATTGATTCGGTTTTGTCGGATTTTATTTGTTACATGAATATTACTTTAGACTTACTTTGTTAGAGTTATAAATAAAGTTTCAATAAGTGATATATGTTTTAAAAAAATTGACAAACATATGATCTATTAAAATAATCTTATGGGAGAACTTTTTTAGTAACACGTGATAGTTATTTTCTTAGTCGAACAATAATTTTTCGTTGATGTACGCTTTCAAGCTTAATCAAATTTTTTTACAAAAATCAATATGAAACCTAAATGATAATATGTTCTATCTTATTTTAAAAATTACCAATAAAACACCATTTCAAATTCTGAAAAAAAAGACATAAGAGTTTAATAGATCTTGACATATCAAAAAAAATATAAGAGTTTAATATATCTTGACATCCTTGATGCATTTCAATAACACTTGATAAGAAAGTGTGATTATGTTAGAATCAGTCATTATGTAAAATAAATAAAATTGAATGCACTTTATAGCTCTATTAAATATTACATCTTATGAGTATCACAAATATTTCTAGATATCTTTTTAAAGAAAATTCTATATAAAGTTATAAAAGTACATATAAAAATGATATATTTATGTATACTCTTTTGATAGACTAAGATCATTACTGTAACAATAAAATACAATACAATATAATGTAATACAATACTAACGATAAAGGCATAATATCTAGCTTTTTTGTTGTATTGTATTTTATATTAGTGACAATAGGACAAGATAGAATAGTATTATCCCGTCAATTTATTTTATAATATGTTATCCAATTTTAGCAATCTTATGGGACCCTGTCTTCAGCTAGCAGATCGAAGATATTTATTACTTACTTATCTACTTAGGATTTCATTGCGAGCAATATATATTCCATAAAATTACAAAAGGTGGGGAAAAAAAACATGAAATCGTACCGAACGAAAAAGGGAGAAGAATCAGAAATCCAAACTTGGAAATACATGTTTCAAAACAATTTTCAATCACTTGTTTTCTCTTTTAATTTCTAATTCTTCACAAAGATATTATTTATTGTTTGATAGCAAAATCAAGTATAGGACGCAAGGCTTGGAACAAAGTATAATAAGTAAATTGAGTTGGGTGGACTGAATCCCAAAACATATGTTGTGAAGGATTATTGCAAACAATTGACTTTGGATTGCAGAGAATTGAAAGTTCAACAAGTCCACTTCCACAACATCCCTTGGCCACTTCAGTAAGACCTGCAAAAATTATAGGTATGGTCTTAATTAGGAAGACGACAACGACTACAACAACAACCATCCTGTAAAATCTCATAAGTGGGGTCTGGGGAGGACAGTGTATACGCAGACCTTATCTCTACCCTGAGGGGGTAGAAAGGTTGTTTCCGATTGACCCTCGGCTCAAAGACGAAAAGAGACAATATATCAACATCACAAGAACCAGTAAATAAAAGGAAAGCAAACAATAACTACTCCCTCCTTTCCAATTTATGTGAACCTATTCGACTGGGCACGGAGTTTAAGAAAAAATGAAGACATTTTGAATTTGTGGTCCTAAACAAGTCAAAAAAGGGTCCAGAGTATTTGTGTGGTTAAAAAAGCTTCTCATTGAGGGTAGAATTGAAAGTTAAAGCTAGGTTGTTTTCAAATCTAGAAAGGGGTCATTCATTTTTGAACAGACCAAAAAGGAAATAGGTTCACATAAACTGGAATGGAGGGAGTAGTAAATAAGGTTGACACTATAAAAATAGAAGAGTAGTATGAACACAACATTGGCGGTCTTAATTAGGAAGAGTTTAGCTTATATACATTGACATTGTATATAAAAATTTTGCACTATCAGATCAAACTAAAGGGATCTAAAATTTGACCTTTATGGGTTCGAGCTCGGAAGCCTACCACAAATCATTTGATTTGTAGGGGTTCAAAGTCAATTGTTTATATTATTTAATTTTTGCTTAACACATATATAAGTCCAAGCCAAATGTGATGACCCGCCATGTCATCACGCCACATAGGTGCCATTTGGCATATATTAATGCTATGTAGAAGCTTACATAGGAGGAATGCTAGTATTTGTGAGAAGATTCTAGAGAAGTATGAACATTTCTTTTGGAAGACCCTAGATCCCTATGGATTTCCTAGGAAAGTTCTCGGAATCTTCTAGGTTTGTAGAGAATTTTAGAGAAAGCCCTTAACTTGTAAATATTAAGGACTTGTGCAACAATTAATATTTACATACTAGTCCCTAGGAGATTAGTATATAAAGTGGGCCATTCATTTGTAATTCACCAAGAAAATAATTCAAATTCTCTCTAATACAAAGCTTCCTTCATGAGCGAGTTGTCAAGTGCCGCACGTGTACTTAGTTAAAGACTAAGGACGTGACACAAACTAAGTAATGTATAAGGAGTTCGGATGAACCGAGTAATTACACTCTACATCTGCCGGTCCCTCATGTAACTATGCTTATAATAAGTGAAATTAGTAACTTATATTAGACAAACAACTTGCTGCGACAAATTAAATTAAAATTTTGGGCACTCACCATATTTAGTTGGATCTTGTATCATGTCGTTTAAAGGATTATAGGTATCGAGGTAGAATAATTTTGTGTTATGAATTTGCATAGTCTTTAGTAAATGCTGAAGAAGCGAGTTGTACTCTCTTGCAACAGCAGAGTACGATTCAACACATTGGCGGGGTTGAAGTGCGCTGCCGGAATTTATCGTGATGATCAGCGGCAAACACCCGAATGGCGGAACTCCGGCGACGGCGATGGTTCGAGCTCCCTCGTTCATCAAACCCTAGAACAATTTACATAAAGTTTGTTTATACTACAAATTATAAATATAAATATATCAAACGGGTAAATTTTACAAATGGTCATATAATTATGATTTTTTTCCACCAAGTCATATAACATTACTTTCTCACACAAAAATCATAAAATTTTCACTAACTCACATAAAAATCATAGGGACCGAAAAACATAATTTTTCGGTAGCATTTTCTTATTTCATGTTTTTTTTTGTTTTTTATTTTCAGTCTAATAAATAATCATCCAATTAAAATAGGAGAAATATATATTTTTAGCTGCTCCAAAATATAATAGCCGATAAAATTTATATTTTTATATATAATATACATATTCTATACATTTTTTGTTTAGCGAATGCATTTAGTTTTGGCCGATCAGTCATTTTTGTATCTTTTTTTTTAAAATAGGAATGACCCAACCCAACCCAACCCAATGCCCATTTACACATATTAAATAATACTAACAATAAATTCTTCCCCCATACAAAACTTAGTTTGGAATGCATGAGATTCTAACAAAATAAGAAAAGAAATAAAAGGTATAATTAGAGAGCACTTAAGACAAAAATGCTATAAATTTGAATGAAAATCTTGAAAAAAAAATAGAAGTGTCGTGCTTTGAGATATTCATTTTTAGCATTATTTTAATTTATATATAATGATATTATGATTTTTGTTTGAAAAAATAAAGTTATATAATTTTGGTGAAAAAAAGCTATAATTATATGACCATTCACATTTGATATACCATTTGAATTTTCAAAAGCTATACCTTATAGAAATTCATTTTATCTTGAATACTGAATGATCAAATTAGTCCAAAAATATTAAGTTCCTTGGACCACAGTCGCATGTAAGATTTATATTTGGTGGGTTCAACCTTCATTATTTTTAATATTAAATTTTGTTGTACTTTTGAAAGTTATGATTTTCAATTTAACTTTTGATATATATATATATATATATATATATATATAAACAATAAAAATGTTAATTTCAAATTTAAATCAACTACATGGCTTTAATTTATGAGAGAAAGACTTACCTGGACAAATTGCTGCAGCAATTGCAACAAGAATTGCTGGTAGGCAGAGACTTTATAGGTATGTCTTCGATATGGGGTATTATAATAGTTTACAACGAAATCATTTGTCCCTGCACTTATAATGAATGTTGCTTTGCTTATTATCAATTTTGTCTTTTCTTTCCCTATTGCATTTTCAAGTCTCTTTTTATATTCTTTGAAATATTCCAGCTGCTTTTCCAATGGAATTACGCCCTGCCATTCTCAAATCACAATCTTGTCAATATTTCGTTAAATTATATAACGTACATATTATTGTAACCACGTGATGCATGAGAGAACTACTAAATCCATCCCAATTTATTACTCCCTCCGTTTCAATTTATGTGAACCTGTTTGACTGGGCACGGAGTTTAAGAAAAAATGAAGACTTTTGGAATTTGTGGTCTTAAACAAGTTCAAGGCCCAGAGTATTTGTGTGGTTATAAAAGTTTCTCATTAAGGGTAGAATTGTAAGTTTAAGCTAAATTGTTACCAAATTTAGAAAGGGTTCATTCTTTTTGGAACAGACCAAAAAGAAAATAGGTTCACATAAACTGGAACAGAGGGAGTACTAGATAGTATTTGATTGAACCTGAAGTTTAAAAAAAAAGTTTTTTGAAATTTATGATCTAAAACGAGATATAAATACTTGTGACTATAATAATCACATCAATGAAAAAAAAAAAATTTAAAGTTAAATTTTTACTAGAAACAAATTTCAATTATTATTTCTATACCGATTAAAAAGGAAAGTGTCACGTAAGTATGGGAGTGAAGTGCACGGTTGGCCACTAATAACACATGTATTTACTTTTAAGCCACCGTTTAAAATGTCTTTAGTCTTTAGCCACTGCTTTAATAAACTTTAACTGCCCGGACGAAAATACCCTTCTGCTCATGTCCTTAACTTCAGGACTTCAGGACTACATGTCCTTAACTTTGAACTTGGAACACTAAGTTCAGGACTTCAGGACTACATGTCCTTAACTTTTTAACCTGTAACTCTAAGTTCAGGACTTCAGGACTACATGTCCTTAACTTTTGAACTTGGAACTCAAACTTCAAGACCAAGCGTCCTTAACTTTTGAACTTGTAAGTCAAAGTTAAGGACCTATTGTCCTTAACTTTTGAACTTGTAACTGTAAGTTAAGTACTGCTTGTCCTTAACTTTTGAACGTGTAACTGTAAGTTAAGGACTGTCTGTCCTTAACTTTTGAACTTGGAAATCAAAGTTAAGGACCTATTGTCCTTAACTTTTGAACTTGTAACTGTAAGACTGCTTGTCCTTAACTTTTGAACGTGTAACTGTAAGATAGGGACTATCTGTCCTTAACTTTTGAACTTGGAAATCAAAGTCAAGGACCTATTGTCCTTAACTTTTGAACTTGTAACTGTAAGTTCAGAACCTATTGTCCTTAACTTTTGAGTTTGTTAGTCTAAGTTCAGGACCAAGTGCCCTTAACTTTTGAACTTGTAATTCTAAGTTCAGGACCAAGTGTCCTTAACTTTTGAACTTGGAACTCGAAGTTCAGGATCAAGTGTCCTTAACTTTTGAACTTGTTACTGTAAGTTCAGGATCCATAACGTAGTAGAAAACCAAACGTTATTTGTCTTTTCACAAAAAAAATAAAATAATAATTGCAATTTACATATAAGATTGATGTTAGATTTGGCTTGGATGCAACATTGATAAGACAAATCTACATAACCTTTTCATTACTAGTCTGATGAAAATACAAGTGATGACGATTTAGTTGCTTCTCTGTATGAGCAAAAATAATTGCAATTATGTATGTATTTCTTAGTAGTCTGCACACGAGAAGATCTAATCTCTCCAATGATAATTATCACTATCCTTGAACATCACGGCCAGGCGAGATGGGAAGGGTGAGAAGTTCTTCGAGGTCCTTGCCAAGGCTACTGCGTTGAGAGAAGCAAGGGTTTGGGAAGAAAAGCAATGGAGGAAAGGGTACAATTGTCTTTTCATATTAATTTTAATAGGGTAGTTGCTATTTTTGCTCAATATTAGAATTGCTGGAGAAAAAATAAATACCACCTTAAATAGTGGCTATCCCACGCCATTTCTACTAAGTATGGTGCAAGTCTAAGTTCCACTTATGTATGTTATGTAATGTCAGAGTTCTACTTGTTCTTCTTTGGGAAAAACCGTCATGTTTACCACTCTACTTTCAAATATTATTTATTTTTAACATCCGTTATATTTTTTTTGGTAATTAAATTTTCTATTTACCAGGGAAAATATTTACAAGTAATTCAATAAAAACCTATACAATCCGTTCTACACTTCTCTAATCCCCTCCCTCCTCTATACTTCTACTATCCCCTACATGGGTATCAATTCAAACTATTCAGCCAGTTTTCTACATTTTTGTTGCTTCTACAGTGGGCTTCCTGTACAATCTGCTTACACAGTATCTCCCATCCTCTTTCTCTTGCTTGGAATATTCTTGCATTTCTTTCTTGCCATACGTAATACACAGTTGCTGCTAGTATCATCTTGAATACCTCTGTTTTCCCATTCGTTCTTTTAGTAAACTGAATTGCCCATAGCAGTTCTTGTTCCCAGCCCTGTGGTCTCCTGCTTATCCCTTGCCAGCTTAACAGTCTGCTCCAAAGTTCACTTGAGTATCCACATTCAAAAAACAAGTGCTGGATACTCTCCCTTCCTGTTTTGCATATCACACATTTGTCCTCTACTTGCATACCCCATTTCTGCAGTCTATCCTTCGTGTACAATTTGCCATGAGCCGTCAGAGTTAGCATGAAGGACCATCTAGGACAGACTGCATTTTGGCAAACTACTTTTCTCCAGCTCACTTTTTCAAAATTCCCTCGCAGCCTGTGGTAAATTGCCTTGATGCTGCATTTCTTCATTCTCTTTACTTCATCATAGCTAAAGCCAGCTTTTTCAAGTGTCTCCTTTGCCTTCAAAATCTTTCCCACAAACCATGATGCCTGTTTTACTTGTATTCCCCATACTTCTTTGCCCTTGATATAGTAGCTATGTATCCATTGAATCCATAGCTTATTTTTCTCCCTACATAAATCCTAGTAATGCTTGCACACAGCTGCCTTGTTCCATAGTGCAATCTGCATGATGTTGAAACCTCCAGCAGTCTTAGGCATGCAAATTTTTTCCCATGCTAACAGGGCCTTTTTTGACAAATTGCTCTCACCTGTCCAAAGAAAGCTTCTGCAGATGGATTCAATAAGTTTTGTAATCCTTTTGGGCATCACAAAGATATGTGCCCAATATGTCTGAACAGCAAAAAGCACACTTTTTATGAGCTGTATTCTGCCAGCATAGGATAGGAACCTAGTTGTCCATGATGTTATTCTTCCTGCAATCTTCTCTATCAGTGGTTGGCATTGTGCAATGGAAATTCTTTTTGTGCTTAATGGCACTCCAAGGTATCTCACTGGTAGCTCCCCCTTCTGTATTCCCAAGTAATTAAGTATCTCATCTTGGACCCCTTATGTAATGCCTCCACAGAACAAAGAGCTTTTGTTCTTGTTGATCTTCAAACTTGAAGCTTTTGAGAATTCTTGGAAACCACTGAATATGAGCTGGACTGACATCAAATCTCCCCTGCAAAACAGTAATAAATCATCAGCAAATCCAAGTTGCAAGATTTGCATCTTTGCACACTTGGGGTGATAGTTGAAATTTGGGTCCTTGTTGAGCATTTTCAGCCTTCTTGTTAAGTACTCCATTGCAAGCACAAATAAGTAGAGGGATAAGGGGTCCCCTTGCCTTAAACCTCTTTGTGCTTCAAATGGCCTAGTTTGAGCTCCATTGATCAGAATTGTGTAAGTGACTGTCCCAATGCACCTCATTATCCACCTAACAAACTGAGCAGGAAATGCTAAAGCTTGCAACATTTGCTCCATAAAATCCCACTCTATTGAGTCATATGCTTTCTGCATGTCAAGCTTCATCATACACCTAGGTGATACTCCTTTCCTCCCATACCCTTTGACCAACTCATGGCTCAATATGATGTTATCAGTTATAGCTCTTCCTGGGACAAAAGCTGCTTGGGATTTATCAACCAAGACATCCATCACATATTGAAGCCTTTTTGTTAGTACTTTGGAGATCACTTTGTAGATCACAGTGCAACATGATATAGGTCTAAACTCTTTTATGCTTGTTGGGTTTTTGACTTTAGGAATCAGAGTTATGGCTGTGCAGTTCACTGGCTTATACATCTGTGCTGTTTCAAAGAACTCCTCCACTGCCATTGTCACTTCATCACCTATACTCCTCCATGCCTTTTTGAAGAAGACTGCATTAAAACCATCATATCCTGGGGCTTTCAAATCATTGATCTCCTTCAGTGCCTCTCCTATTTCTTCCTTAGTAACTTTGTTGATCAGTTACAGCTGTTGTTCTCTATTCAGGGTATACCCCATTTTGATGACATTAGGATCAATAGCAGGAATGGCTTCATCTTTTGATCCCAGAAGTGTCCTATAGTACCCTAGGACTTCTGCCTCTATTTCATCATCAAGCACCAACTGTCTCCCTGTATCATCAACTAGCATTTGAATTCCATTTGTACTGTTCCTTTGCTTCATTTGTGCAAAGAAGTATCTTGAATTAGAGTCTCCCAGTTTTAGCCATTGCACCCTTGATTTCTGCTTGTATACACTTTCCTCAATTTTCACCCATTTTTCTAACTCCTGCTTCAGTTGTTTTTCCTTATCAATTAGTTCATTGTCTTGCTTCCTGTTACTCATATCTTCCTGCACAGTCTGCAATTCATTCCTTGCTTCTTTAATCTTCCCCTCCAAGCCTTTGTAGTGCTGTGTATTTATCTCCTTAACAAGCTCTTTGGTTTTCTTTAGCTTTTGCCATACTTGCTGCATTTTACCAGTTTCACTTCCCTCTTTCCAGGCCTTCTCCACTTGTTGCAGAAATTGTGGATGTTCAGCAATACAATTAAAGAATCGGAATGGACTGCTTTTCTTCCTGTTCACCTGTGTAATCATCAACTTCAAAGGAGAATGATCAGATATTAATGGTTCTAATACCTGAATCTTCAAGGCAGGCATATTCATCATCCAATCTATATTTACCAGTCCCCTATCTATCCTGCTATATACATGGTTATTTGTCCATGTGTAGTCCCTTCCCATATATTGCAACTCACTTATCCCAGTATCCATCATGTATTCCTTAAAATCTTTCACTTCCATGTCCTGTACTTCTGTTCCATGCTGCCTATCATTTACATGGAGGATTGCATTAAAATCACCCATTGCCAGCCAGGGCCCTTGTTGCATGCTATTGATCTGCCTTAGCTTAGCCCATAGAGGTTCCCTGTCTTTAATAGTATGCAGCCCATAAACAGCTGTGAAACTGAATGTCACTGGCTTTGATTTCATACTAATTTGCCCATGAATAAGTTGATCATCAATTTCCTTAGGATCAAAAATGTAAATTTTAGGATCCCACATTACCCAAATCCTTCCTTTTTTTTTCCTGTTCTGGCATTAGAAACTGATTCCCATCCTGGAGCTATCTTTCTAATTATATCTTCTGCTTTTATATCTTTTACTCTATGCTCTACTATAGCTATTACAGCCTTATTATTTATTCTGACAAACTCCTTTACTTCTTCTGCTTATAAGTTTTATTTATCCCTCTTACATTCCAAGTAACAACACTCATACTGGAATGAAATAAGGATAGTGTGAATACCCTTGATCTCCTTGGCTACTGGTCTGACTAGGCCCTACAGCATCACTTCTTTGCTCATACATCAAGCTCTGAAATGTGTTGTTTTCATCTATGCTTTGAACTGCCTGTTGCTTTGTTATGCTTGGCCTTGCAGCTGATTTCCCTGCTACTGTGACCCATCCTGCTTCTCTACTTTGTGTTCCTTCTCTCCTTTGTTCAGGCTCAGTCCTTTGTTGTTCTGAGCTTACTTTTATCTGATCTTTTTCCTTCTCCTCATTTCCTTCTTCTTTCTCTGCTCTAACCCATACCATCCTTCCCTTAGTTATCTTCTTCTGCTGTAAATTCCTTTGTTGCTGCATTGGCTTCTTACTTTCAATACATTCATGCCCTATTTTCAAGCATTTACTGCAGTACTTAGGTTCCCAGTCATACTCCACCTCCTGCATCATTTCCTTTCCTTTTGGATCTTGAAGTTTCACTTGTTTAGGCAGAGGTTTAGTAACATCCATTTCCACTAGTAACCTTGCATATGAGATCCTTACTGCTCCTGTCGTACATTCATCAGCATAAATAGGATTTCCCAAGGTACTTCCTATTTTGCTTAATGCAGTCATACTCCACCAATTTACAGGTAGATTAGGCAGCTTAACCCACAGTGGAATAGTTTTTAGTACTTCATCATGTAGGCTAAATTCCTCCGACCAAGCCTTCATAATCATTGGTCGATTATTAATCGTATGTGGCCCTGAGAACAATACTTGATCCCTTTCCTCAATGCTACTAAATCTTATAATGAAATAGTCTTCATTATGGTAGTAGATCTGGGGTTTTGTCGAGTACTTACCCACAGAGTTCACAAATCTGTCCATAGCTCCAATCGATGGTGATTCACCTATGACATATAAGACCAAAGCATTTTTCCATTTAGCAGTCTCCTGCTCCACATCTTCCGCTTCTATTTTCGCCATTTTCTCTCCATTTTGCACTATTGGAGCTATGAATTTCAAATTCATGCCCTTCATAGCCAATTTGTTTCCTCCCACCACGTTTGCCCATGTTTTGGTCACAGCCTCAACCTGATTCCCTTCATCTTTGTTCTGCTCAACAGTACCTTGATTGCATGGTACTGTTCCATTAATTTTCAGCTCACTTCTTTGCTCTTTGCTTCCCGACTCATCTCCTCTAGTATTGACTACCATTGGAGCTGGGGTGTTCATCCCTTCCTTAATCTTTCCTTTTTTTCCTAGCTAAATCTCCTTCTTCACTGTGTTCTTCAGCTTGTAAGTTCTTCGAGTTAGATCTGGGTTCTTCAATTCGTATCCCTTTTGGGGACACAAACAGCTCTAGCACCGCATTCCTTGTTGCCGAGGATCGTTGTTCATCAGTAGCATTCTTTTGCTGGTTCCGCTTAGGTCGTCCCCTCCCTCCCATGGCTTCCTGGCGCAGGTTAGCTGACCACGCTATTTTACGTCGAGAGAATCAGTTAGAGAGAGAAGCTTATTCGGCTGTTTTTATTTCTCGATATATATCCTTATTGTTAGCAAAGTATTCAAATATAGCCCTATTTTTAACGGAAATCTACATAGCCTGATTTTTTGATAAGGTTACTGCTACGTGACATGCCATCTTAGCACCGTAGCCCCATTATAACCATTCCTGATACTCTCTTCCCCTTCCATTGCATAGGAGTACTTTTCTGAGCATGGAAATTCCCAAATCGCACTTTATTACTACAAAGCTGATAATTGGTAAGATTGAACTTTAGACACATTAATATTACTTCCTTTGTCCTATTTTATGTGTCACGGTTCAAAGTTTGAGGGTTTAATTTTTTTAAATTTTAATTAAAAATTCCGACAAAAAATCTTTAAATATTTTGAAATAAAACATACATATATAAAACTATGTAAAAAGTATTATAAGTCATGAGAGACGCACGCTTAGTTGAGCAGTGAGGGGATCAAAGCCGGAGCTACCGGAGGCGAAACTAACTCCGGTCATGAGCTCCTCCAAGCTAAGACTTGGATCCAAATAGGGTGGCACAAAATCTTTGATTCCCAAGTATGAAACTGTTACAAAGACAAAACAACATGGTTAAAATAAGGATTTTAATGTCAACTTACTCTAATGGAAATTTTACATATCAACGTAATCTGTTATAAAGTGTTCATTGTGCTATTTTTTAAGTTACTAATTCAATTATCATTCTGTTAATAACCTTTTAAATTATTATTATTATATATATATATATATATATATATATATATATATATAGGATTGCATTGACAATGTGTTAGTACATAAGTTAAATGCAATGCAATTTATAAATTTTCATTACACTATCAATACTGTAGTTTAACCTATTATAGTAGGTTAGTTACCCTTTTTATTCGGTTTCCAATAATACATGTCATATAGATTTACTTGCAGTTAAAAGTAAATTTGAGTGACTTAGTTGCATAAACAATTTTTATATTTCCGGTGCATAAAACTAAAATGAAAAAGGAAAGGAAGAAATTTACTTCTGTGTACTAACAATATGTACAATCTTTAATACTCTCTAGTTAAAATGACGAGTCAATTACTCAAATGGTCACTCAACTATCTCAAATTATCTCCTAAAGTCACTTTTCTTTTGTTTGTAACAACAAAGTCACTGAACTATACCTATTGCACTCAGAAGGTCACTCAACTAGATTTTTCAAATTTTGAATTGCCAAATACCTATTTTACCATCTAAATTATAAATATATATCTTTTTTATTTTATTTTTAAACTTTTTAATATTATAATTTTTTCTTTTTAATTTATATTATGGACTTACCTATAGAATAAATAGATATTATTTAAAAATTAAAAAAATAAAAAGTATTTAAGCATCTATAATGCTGGAATAACAAAATAATGAGCATAGTAAAAGAATTAACTAGAATAATTTGTTTGTAATAAAAATTTTAGTATTAACAACAAAAATTAAAAAAGTTATTTACACAATTCATAATGAAAGAAAATAAAGGTTGTAAAATATACATTCCATGCACGTAATATAAAAATAATTATTTAAATAAAAGTATTTTTATAATATACATTATATATTCTTGAAAATATACTCAATTATATATATATGTATATATATATATATTCCATGCACGAATTAACGTAGTATATTTTACCCTATACAGATAGTCCCCCTGCTTTCCGGTGACATAACTTTGTATCGTCGGAAAGTTGGTAGAAACATAATAATATAATTGAGCATAATTTTCAAGAATATATAATGTATATTATAAAAATAACTTTATTTAAATATTTTTATATTACGTGCATGGAATATATATTTTACAACCTTTATTTTCTTTCATTCTGAATTGTGTAAATAATTTTTGAATTTTTGTTGTTAATACTAAAGTTAATATTACTAACAAATTATTCTAATTAATTTTTTTCTATGCTCAATATTTTATTATTCCAGCATAATATATGCTCAAATACTCTTTTTTTAATTTATAAATAATATTTATTTATTCTATAGGTAAGTCCATAATATAAATTAAAAAGGAAAAATAATATTAAAAAGTTTAAAAAAAATAAAAAGAGGATAAATGTTTATAATTTAGAGGGTAAAATAGGTATTTGGCTATCCAAAATTTGGAAAATCTAGTTGAGTGACTTTCTGAGTGCAATAGGCATTGTTCAGTGACCACTACAAAAAAAATTGGAATTCGCTACGAACGTCATTGCTAATCTGTCGCTAAATCGCCCATAGCATAGCAGAATTTCTTGATTATCTGTCGCTAATACGTCGCTAAATGAGATTAGCGATGGATTTTTCTGTTTAGCTACAGAATTTGGCCGTCGCTAAAACCAGATTTTTTAGTAGTGGACTTTGTTGTTGCAAACGAAAGTAAAATGACTTTAGGAGATAATTTAGGATAATTTAGTGACCATTTGAGTAATGGACTCTTAAAATGACCTATATAACAACAGTTAACACCATGACTTGCAACCAGAGGCGTCCCTAAGATTTGGAGGCACCGGGGGCACCACTATCTTTAACATAGTCATGATGCATACTAATTACTAGCTATAAAGTTTGGCGTGCAACTCTTTTAAAACTTGATGATTATGCTAAGTTTAAACTCTTAGTTTGAAGAGAAGCAAATTTGACACTTTTTTAAAGAGTGATTTACCCAAATTAGATGGGGAGCGAAAACTAAAGAAAGAAAAAGAAAATTTGGTCTAATGATTTTTTGAGGGGTAAATCAAAAGAAAAAGAGTGATTGGAGCGGACATTATAAGAAAAAAAACCAGAAAAAAGAAAGAAATCTGGGATAATAAATCGTTCAAATAAAAGCAAATTAAATATTAGGGCATTGTTGTCGAACCTTTGTCATCCAACAAAAGAGCAGACATGACCAGTGCCACTGCCCCCAGTCCAACTTTGACTATTAGGGTGCCTTATTTATATATACCTTTCTAAGGTGGTAGGGTGCCCTACATATATATAGGATTTTTTCCGAACTTAACGGGTGCCCGTGACCCCTCTAACATAAATGCATGTCCGCCTCTACTTGCAATAATATTTCACTATTTATAGAGATTCTAATTAGATAACACATAAAATATCGTTTATAACCTGTTATAACCAGTTAAAATTTACCGATGTAATCTGTGATGAGTCGGCCATTGGTGAACCTCCCGGTAGGTTTGTGGTTTACAAAGTCCCTTCCATAGGGTGCAAAGTTGCATTTAGAAAGAGTGTTTATGTAGTTGTTATTCCCTGAATCAACAGTGGAGTCTCCGAATACTAAAACAGCTGAAACTGAATTGTTGAATGGCCATTTTTGCAAATTTTTATTATCAGTTAATGTTCGAGCTTGAGCTCTACTTTGGGAAATGATAATCAGAAGAATGGACAAGAAGAGAATAACAGTCTGGACAAACTTGCAAACAGAACTCATTGTGGCTAAATATTTGGAAAAACAGTTGAGAAATTCATGAGCTTTGAGTCGTTTATATATGGTAATATATATAATGAAAAAAGAAGAAGTTTTGTGTAGTAATAATATGGTAATAATAGCAGTGGACCTTATTGCAGTTGGCGACAGGAACAAATTTAATGGCAGAAGTAGGATCGAGCATTTGCGCTCCAACAAATTTGGTCTAAGGCCATACTTATTTCTAAATTTAGGTAAAAGGTCTTGCTTTGCGCCTACGCTTTTTAAAACACTGCGTGTGAACCTTTTATGTTGCTCTTCTAATTGTTTAGGCTACATTTTACATATGGTTAGTGATGGCAAAATGCATTAAAAAAATAATTATTCATCCATATTATTTACTAAAAAATGAGTTGGATACTGAATTTTTTAACTAAATGGATCAATGGTTCACTTTTATATTTACAAAAACTAAAATTGGGGGTTCCACAAATTTGAAAGACTATACATATTATCCACCGGTTAACTCATTTTCTATCAGTATTAAATATCGGCGGGTCAAATATTTTTATCGTTTTTACATTAACATTTTCGACTCATCCATATCCGATATGGTTAAAGGCCTAACATATAGTGACTATGTGTTGAAATTAGGAAAGAGAAATTTGAGAGATACATATTTATAAAAAAGGATTCACTTCAATTCATTGATGCCCACAGGATTTAAAATCTCATAGAGTTGTTGACTATTTCTGAACGGTGGTATACCGAATTTTAGACTCCTTTTTTTTTTTCATACTCAATTGGTCTCCTGCATAAATACCATAGAATTAAAATGTAATACAATATCTTTAATTTCTAGCCGCCAAAAATTAGATAACGCTATAAGCCTAAAAGCTAACTTTAGATATGCAGTTAACTCTTAGTTCAGATTTATACCCCAAAACTTTTCTTTAAGTTTCTCACTCTTGGGTTTTTAGTTACACCCAAAAAATTTTCTTTAAGTTTTAACTCTTGAATTTTTAGTTCTACCCAAAACTTTTACAACCTCACAGCCTTAAAGGCGGGGAATGTTAATGGCCAGGGATTTTGTACTTCTGATTTTGATAAAATCCGGAAATTTAATCCTTTTGGTTAACTTTACGATCGGGAAACAAGACATTTGACATTTAGCCATTTTATTGGATGGCTCCATAAGAGAGGGCTCTATGTTTGTGTTCCTTATGAAGAGGACGTCTCATGATCATCCGGACACAATTGTTCGAATTTGTAATCCCTTTTTTGCTTCTAAGTATGAGCAAAATATTAAGAATGATTTTGTTCATTCAAACAAATACGATAATGTTTTTAGGAAATGTAAGTTTTGCTTCATTCCATTCATACACAAGTGTTTATAACTTTGCATATACAACATAAATATCTTGCAAGAGAATTGCGATGGGGCTGGCATTTATTAGGTCTAGCCGGTACTTAATTCTGATTCCTTCTATTTCTTTCTGGAGCTGATCTAGTAGTCCCCAATCCTTTTCTTTATTCTGAAGCCACCTTCAGAAACTTCCGGTACTGATTCTTGCGGTTTCTGCTGCTCTGATGCAACAGTCCCCAACATTCATTGACATTATTATCTTTCATCAAAGTTATTTTCTGGCAACTCGCTTCAGGTACGCCCCTGCCTTATGTCAGCTTGTGATCCTGACCGGTATGGTTCAACCGATGTTTGGAATCCACCGATCAAAGTTCAATTGACCTTGACTCCATGCCGTAGAAGATGTCGATTTAATAATCTGATCATCTTCTACACGAATTTTTGACTCGTATCTGTTACGAACATCTTCCCACATTATTTCTTGAAATTCTAACAAACTCTCCTTCAACTTTCTTGAGGCATCAAAGCTTATTGTAATAACCCTAATTTAATTAGAGGTTAATTTATAATTTTATAAAAATAAAAAAATAATAATAAGAAAATAAAATAAAAAAGAATTCAGGTTAAAGAGTAATAAGCCAAAGGAAATGCAGCATAAGCTTATTAAAGAAACAACAGTAGAGCGCAAAAACAGAAAAGAAAAAAAAATGCAGTAGGAGAAAAGAAAAGAAAAATAGGGATTCTCAACCCAAATCATCACGGTAATGATCCTTAACTTTTATATGAGTTTATTACTTGATTTTGAGATGATTTTTATTGTAGAAACATGGAGAAATTATTAGAAATTGAGAAAGTCTAGCTCTATGGTTCTTCAACCTTATTCATCAATTTGACGTTATCAAATTTTGATTTTGATTCGTGTTCTGGAATCCTCTCATCAAAAAGAATCCGTTGGTGGTCATGCTACAAAAATTCTGACCCGTTAACCAGAGTTGACTTTTTGGGTCAACCTTTGACCACGAGTTGGACTTGCTCTAAAAATTAAAAGGATGTTCACCTAAGGGTTTTTGATCATTCTAAACTCGTTTTTGTGTAGTTTGAAGTGATCCAGAGACTCGAGAGTATGTTTTTGAGTTATGGAAAGAGTGTTTAGATTTTGAATTCGATGTAAGTGAGACTTTAAACTTTGCTTCTTGCTTTTTCAAAATCCGTTTTAAAAGTATGTTTTGTCTGCCTGGTCCATATGTTGGGACGAGCGTGCGCTTGACAGAATTTTGTGGTCTTTGACCAGCCGCAAATTTATATTATTTTGTGAAAAGCTAATATTATTAAATAAGTGATTCGTGGTGTGATGTGATGTGGCGTAGCATCGTGCTATGGTGTCACGAACCAATTTCCATTATAGGCCATGATGGCGCCTAACACCGTTGTTAGGCAAGCAGACAGTGATCAAACTAATGGTTTCCCCTTTAAATAAATTACTAAGTGGATATTAATTTCTCATTTATTAAGAAGATTTAGAAATTTGCAAATGGAACACAATTAAGCGGAAGCAAATGAGTACCAATAATAATCATGTAAACAAATCCAAAATCATAAGTCTACTGGTGTGTGTGCAGGATTTGGTGTCAAAAGTATGTGGGCAATCTAGTAGAATATACAAAAGAATGCTAGCCTACTATCTGAAAGGAAATACAAAGAAAAATAAAGCATAGGAGAGACTCCAGCTGCTGTAGAACGGCTCGTAAGGCAGCTCACCGTAAAGTCTCGAGATGGGGATAAAATCTGCGCACCAAACTGGCAACCAGATGCACTTGCCTCAGATCCTGTACAATTAAATACAGAAGTGTAGCGTGAGTATATAAATAATATGTACCCAGTAAGTATCAAGTCTAACCTCGAAGAAGTAGCGACGAGGGGTCGACTCCGAAACTTACTAGGGCTAACAATATAATAATATGAAGTTCTAATTAAGCATGATATGTAGAGATAAAAATAAAACTCAGAATAGGAAATAACTGAAAAATGCTTCACCACAGTTAAGAACCCAAATTACTTCCCTCATTTAAAACAAATGATCTCTCAAACATTGAAGCTATACCAATTATAAAAAGGGGCTTTCAGTTCTATTATCACACACAAAACTCCGCCGAGGACGTTCTAACATAAATGTATACTGTCGAGGGTCAAACGGCGCGAACCATCCGAGGCGATCGGCCCGCTACCATGAGAGTAGTAGAAGGAATTACCCCGCTCGCGGATCATACTTGCGACGCCGTTAAATATAAGTTTATCAATAAATCATAACCCTTTCTTGATTCTTTTCAAAATAAAGACAATTCAACTTGAAGCTTTTAAATCCTTAAAAATCCTTAACTTAGTCCCATTTGATACAATTAAAAAATATAATCAAGTAACGGTGTCCACAAGCATGGTGTAAACCTAAAACTATCCGGACATAAACAGGAATAGTAGCTACGTACGGACTCTCGTCACCTCGTGCGTACGTAGCCCCCCACAAATAACAACACATATTAATTAAGTTCACCTAAGGGGTAAATTCCCTCTTACAAGGTTAGAAAAGAGACTTACCTCATCTTAAAGCCTACTTCCCAATTCAAGAATGCACTCAAACCTTCAAATTTGATGCCAAACGACTCGGAACTAGTCCAATATTACATAAATCAATCAATCCATGCTCAAAAGTTCATATCTCCACTATTAAAGTGACTACCCAACCCAAATTGCAAGATTCCTAAAATTTACCCCCGGGCCCACATGCCTGGATTCCGGAAATTTTCGAAAAAAGGTTTTACCCATAACCTGAGGAATATAGGTATATGACTTTTACTAAGTTCCATAACCATTTTCGTGGTAAAGTCCCATTTTTTTTAAACCCTAGGTTTTTCATCTAAACCCATGATTTCTACTAATTTTCATGTTAAAATCTACCCACAATCTATTTATTAAACTCACATTAAGTAGAAATTACTTACCTCACAAAGCTAGGTCGAAATCCCCTCCTTAAAAACTCACCAATCGCCCAAGTGTGGAAGAAAATGTGATAAAAATGGCCTAAGTCCATATTAAATGAACTCCCACTGCCCAGCGATTTTGCACCTGCAGTGCATTCGCCGTATTTGCGGTCCCACACATGCGGCAAGACCTTGCATGTGCACCTTTTCCTCACCTGGCCGGGCTCCGCATCTGCGGACACAAGGAGCCGCATCTGCGAGCCTATTCCGCTCTTGCGACCACAGTGCTCGCATTTGCCGTCTCGCAGGTGCGTAAATTCCTCAGCACCTGCGTTGCCTGGGCTTCCTTCGTATTTCCGCTTATGCGGCTCGTGGCTCGCACCTGCGAGCTTGCACCTGCGGCTGGCCAAGCGCAGGTTCGATTATGACAGAATTGGGGAGCTTCAGCTCTTGCTCCAAGTTTCCAACTTGGTCAGAGCCTCGTCCGATTGCCACTCGGGGCCCCGCCCGAACGTACCCACAAGTCTAGAATCATAAAACAGACTCACTCGAACTCTCGGAACGCCTGAAACAATATTAAAACTAAGAATCACGCCTCAAGACCGATTGAATCAAACTTATGAACTTTAAGTTCTTAAATTTACTTACAATGCGCCGACACGTACTTAAACTACTAGGAAAAA